GGATTTGGAAGGAAATTTGGAAGGTTAGAGCTGGTGCTGTCCCAGCCACCTAGTTACATGGCCCTGTGCTTGGCAAGAGCAGCTCCTGCAGTTTGGAGTCAGTGTGTTCCATTGCTGGCTGGAGCCTGGGTTTTGAGTGGGTGTGTAGCAAGCTGCTGAGCTAAGTTTGGAGCTGCTGTGGTCAGTGGGTGCCTTACTAACAATTTTGGTCTGGCGTGGTTCCTTCCCTGGGGCTGGGTTTCAGGGCAGATGAAAGGGTTCATCAGCCCTCAGGGAGATCCTGGATTATACTGGATTTAAGATGAGTTGTCAGGCTGATTTAGGGGGTTTGTTATCCACTTTTGTCATCCCTGTCATCCTCATCTGCCTCGTTCTGTGTCCAGTATGAACTCCTGGCCACGGCTGGGTTTCATCCAAGGCCCTTGCAGGTGTGAAGGTGGCACCAGCTGGGGACTGACCCAGAGCAGGCTCTGTGGTTTAGGACTTGCCATGTCAGGGTGAAGGCTGAGCTTTCAGCCAGGGCACCCAAGGACCAAATGTGTCACTAGGTCACGTTTAAAGCCAGCACTCCCTGAAGCCTTTTGGATTTGTCTTAAGAGCTGGGTTTAGACTTGGAGTTACCTGCACTTTCTATTGTTCTCCTTGCCTGCTTATCATCATTTCTGGCTATTCTGACCTTTTCCAGCATCTCCAAGAAGCAATGAGAGAATACAAATCCCACAATAAACACCCCAATACAAGATCCTGAGGTTGTAATGGAGTTTTTTAGCTTAGTTCCTTGGGGGGGAAAAAAAAAAAAAAAAAAAGAAAAAAAGACAGGTTTGTGTGCTTAGTACTCTGTTCTTCAAATAGAACCTGGACCTAATTTTGGCTATAGAAACTGCATTTTCTGGCTTGGTGTGAATAAGCAGCTTCATGAAGAAGAGAGGTTTTTAGTTAGAGCTGCACTGAGGGCAGAGCTCAGTCCTCTGGGGATGTGTGTTGCTGAACAATGTTCCTGAAATGGAGGGTAATCTTCCAGGGGGTCTTTTTTGCTTCTGCCTGGAGATAACTCACCAAGAATCCTTGAGGCAGCAGTGATGACAGCAGAAGGAATTACTGCCACAAGCAGGATGACATCATTTCACCCCATGGCCTTAGATAAGTTATTAAGTACCGTTCCTTAATCAGGCTCTGATAAGAGTGAGTAGCTTCTAAACATTGAATAAATGCAATACCCAAGTCTTCCCAGCATGAAGTTTTTTGTACAAGTAAATTTTAGTTTTTCAGAGAAGAAGAAAGTCTTTACCTAGAGAATATTGTTTTTTCTTCTGTCTTGAGTTTCACTCCAGAAGTTTTGGCTCGTGGTGCCTGAGGCTGAGCCCTGCAGGAGCTGCCAGTCCTGCCTGCATGGGATGGCTGCATGGCTACTTCCACCTCCTGGAGAAGACAATGAATGATTCTGGATTTTATGGATTTTCTTGGATTCTTTTATTTGATTTCTTCTGGGTTTTTGTTTTTGTTTTTTTGTTTTTTCCTTCCTGCTCTGGAATATGTATGGTGAAGAGCTTTCGTCCCTTTCCTATCCCTCCATTTCTTGTTAATATTTTCTGAGGGCTTTTTCTCCCTTAAGTTCCTTTAAAAAAATCTGATTTCACACCCATAGAGCAAAAGGCTGCTCACACAGTTTTTCCAGCAAGGGACCTAGGAAAATTGAGGACACATACTGTGGGACTGTGTCAGGAAATGCATGCAGTGCCATACAAGCCTTACCTTATTACATGTACTTGTAGGTAACCCAGCACAGGAGGGTGAGGGTTCTGCAGCAGCTCAAAATACAGGGCTGCACTGTGGTTTGATCACTCTATCAATAGTGATTTTGTTCTGCTAAGACATCAGTGTAAACATTGCTATTTATTTATCCTCTAAGTAATGTATTTATCCTCTAAGTAATGTATTTATCCTCTAAGTAATTTATTTACTCTAAGCAATTAATGTGATCTGATCTCTGCTTCTAAATCCACAATAGTTAAAAAAAATCTTACTGCACTTGTAGATTTTCCAGTTTTTCCAGTATTCTCTCCTTGCTCTTAGAAAAAAAAAAAAAAAAAATCAGTGGCAACCTGGCAGAGAAGTTCCTGGTCATAAGGCTACAAAAGGAATGAGAGGCAGGGACAGACAAACTGCTGAATAAGTTTGTGGGACTGGGTCTGTTGCTGCTGTTAATTCTCAGCACTTCTTTCTCTTCACACAAGAGTGAGTGAGGACACACAGGAGCACACGGGGAGTGTAAGCCAGTGACCCTTGGTCTGCAGGGTGCAGGCTGAAGCTCTTTGGTGAAAGAATGAGTATTCCTTTGTGGGAATGCCTGGGGAGATGATTCCCCCCTCTCCCTCTAGATGCCAGCAGAGCACTAGCCCTGCTGCGAGGCATTGCCTCCTGGATGTATTTCAGAAGAACAGTGCTGATTTGTAATGCTGCTTGATTACTTTTTAGAGAGGTTGGGATTAACGGATTGTCCTGTTCAGAACAAAGTCTGCATCCTTTGGAGAGCTGATGAAAAGAAAAAGCACCGGAGTTTAAACATGTTGTTTTATGAATCTGTTTCTGCAAATACAAAACATGTTCTCACCTGTGATGTATCTCTCTGTGTTTCCCAGGTAAAGAACAAATCAGAGGCTTCTTGGCAAACAACATCCTGAGCCCTCAGAGGCATCCTTGTTTGTACCTCCATACAAACGTGTTGTTCCAGAGATCCCTGGGGAGGAGTATGGCTGTTCCAGGGCCGTGCTTGCTGATGGAGCATCGTGGTTGAACTTGTGCATCCTTCCAGGAACAGGATGTGGTGTGAGCTCCCTGCCTTGGGCTGTGTCACCTCCCAGCTGGCCCATTGAGTGCCTGTCACCCCTCTGGCCTGGGACAACTGGAAAGTGGAATCCCTTCTGGTGCTGACATGGATCAGGCTGAAGCACCTTGTCCTGCTGCTCTGGGCTTTCCCACATGCCTGCTTACAGGGCTCTCAGGGACTGCTTCTCTAATGGCATTTGTTGCACCAGAAGCAAGGTGTCCCTCCCTGCTCCCTCACAGCCAGCAAGAGTTCTGGCCCTTAAAGAGCCTTTTTTGTCCTGTATGGAGTGCTTCAGCTCCATTTCCCAGAGTGTTTCTGCTGGGAGAGACTGTGAGACTCAGTGACTGATTTGCAAGTGCTGTTAGAGATGGAGCATTGTGCACTTCTGCTGTGACACAGGCACTGTTGGCTGCTGTGGACTCTCTTTGCTTGGACTTGGTTTTTGGAAAGAAGACTAACACAAGTGAATGGAGAGGGATCTTGATAAGACTTTTCTGAGAAAGAAAGGACACACAAGAAGCTACACAAGCTTCAAAAACTCTATTTCAGTGCTCTCTGCACTTGCCCCAAGTGATCTTCCTCTCAGAGAAACAGAACAAGTGGAACTGCACAACAGTAAGTGAAGTTTTAGTTATATTTTTTAATATGTTGGCTTTGATAGCTATTAAAAATTGTTTCAGAGATGTTTGGGTATTCCAGTCACGCTGCCAAAGGTTGGTGTCTTGAAGCTGGAGGTACAAACAGGATTTGTTGTTGGGTGCAATCAGGAAAAGGGGGAGGAACAAGCGGGCGGAGCAAAGCGGGGCAGCTCTGTAACACGAGTTTCCGTGCAGCCCTGGGTTGCTTTGCTCCCCTCATTGCCTCAGTCCAGAGCTGCTCTCTGACAGCTCCCTCCACTGGGAAAAGAGTTCAGTTGGTCATTACTAAAATGAATCCTGGTGAAAATACAAAGAGGTAGTAGCATAAAAAAAAAAAAAAAAAATCTGCATTTGAAGCACTGATACTTCTCAGAGGTGTTGATAAATACAAATCCCATGTTTTTAACCCTACTGCTACATCTCATCCATTCCCCTTTCCACTTGTGGAAGGGTTGAGTGCTACTGGGCAAAAGAGAGGCACTGCCCCTGGCTGGGGCATCTGTGCTTCAGGATGGTTCATCAGCTCAGATGGAATGGGGCTGTTTAAGTGGGAACGAGTGTGGATTGTGGGAGCAGGACTTGTATATTTGTGTGGGTCCCAGAAAGGGAACTTTAAAAGAATGGGAGGGTCTGATGTGTTCCCTTGGCGGTGAAATTCAGGAGAGGCTGGTGTGAGAACTGGTTGGAGAAATCAATTGTGATGAACTTCCTAGTTCAGTGATTATGGGCTGCAGTGTGGTACAGGGTAGTAAGATATGTCCTCCCAATACCTCACTTTAAATGGTGTCCTCTTGCTTTGGAATAACTCATATTTAAGTTGAAGCAATCTTTATTTTCAGTTGCAGTATGTTTTTTTCCTGCCCTTCTCTGGAGCTAATCTTCGAGACAATATAAATTGCTATTCACAAATCTCTTATTTTGCTTTGTTTCTGGTAAAACCAAACAACCCAGTCAAGGTCTCCTAGAGCTATGCTGTGCAAACACAAGGGGATGGATGATCTCTGCCCCAGTTTGGGATAATGAACCTTTGGCTCACTTGCTGACTTTGAATGACAATCATATGTATCCATTCACTAAATCCTTGAGAAAACACAGGAAAAGCCAGGCCAGAAATAAGTATACAAACCTGGGTCCAAAGAGGGAAAACTCTGAACTACCAGAATGTGAAAATAAGAGATTTTCAAAGTGAGAGGTCACACCATCCTGTCTTCATTTGCATTTCACTTCTATTACAAATTTGAGTCATGGTGCTCAGCCAAACTTGAGACACACAGGGCAGGAATCTGTATCTGTCCAGTGATGGGGTCATTCCCAGTGCAGTCCTGGGGGGAGGGCACATTCCCAGGAAAGGACTGGAAGCCCATAGTGGTGACAAGGAGCAAGCCTCCTTCTGCCACATACAAAATGAAAGCTCCTGGGACATCAGAAAACACAAATCTAACATCATAAAACCGTTTCTTTACTACATGTTGAAAGTACATTCCAAAACAACAAATGGAGTTAATTTCTCAGGCTAAACATTGTAGATGGTAAAGACAACACCAAGATCCATGTCTTTAATAAAAAAACCAGAACGTAGCTCTGTGGCTTTTATTTCAGTAATACTGAAAACATTAAAAACCCCAAGAGAATGGAACAGAGATTTTTACACACTACAGCACCTTCCCCTGAGATTTCAGGGGGTTTTATGCACTGTGTCTGTACAGCACTGTACAGCAGCAGGAACAGGCAGCTCCTGGAACTGAAGCCTATGGGGAAACATCAGACTGGGACACCTCTTTGGATTCCAATGGCAAGCTCAAAGTTGGGATTGTCAGCATTTCTTACTATTATTGTACAGAAATTGGCACCCAAGGGTTCATTTGAAAGGTGTCTGCAGAACTGTCTGCTAGTGCAGGGGATTTGGGTTTTTCAAGCCTCAGCAGCACACACATTAAATTGCTTCATTACTTGGCTTTTTGCCTCTGTATGAGGTAAATCATCAGCTGCTAAATCTGTAGATGGGACGGAACATCCTCTCTGCTTAAAATCCACTGGGAAGCAAATGTTAACGTGCTCCCCTCCCCACTTTCTGTGTGTCACTGCTGTACTGCAAACCCCCCACTGCCTGTGACCTCGTTTTGGGGAAGCACTTGGGAGGCTCAGTTGTGGACAACCTCATAAAAAGTCAGAAGAAAACAATTACCCCTGCCCTAAGGATCCTGCACAATCTGTGACTACAATTAAATTTAACGTTTTATTTTCCTGAACTGAAGTTAGGTTGATCATCTGCATCCACTGCATTTACTTAGAGGAGTTAGATCTGCACAACACCTTGTCACTGAGCCCACTCACTCCTTTCAGCTGTACTCTATGGATAATACCTTTAAAAAATTGAATCCCCAGCTTTGCTCTGTGAATAAAAGCAGAGTACATCTTGCTAAGCCTAATGCACCTTGGATTGCAGCTCTCGTCTGACTGTGATCATGGGAGATACTGGAGGCAGACAGCTGGCCAGGCAGCCTCTCACTGTGTGAAATTTATGCTACTCTATTTGTAGGTGATTACAAAAACAACTTTTAGTGTCCAGGCTTGCTGCTGCTTAGCACAGGAACAGGAGTCCAAAGACTTTTTCTGGTTGACTGCCTTCATTATTAGTTTTTCTCTTTTTTTTTTTTGTGGTTTTCTCTCCCTTAGAAACGTCAGGGTTATGGAATCTGATGGTTCATAGTTTTGCTGAAGGACGTTTTCAGAGTCTCACAAAAACACACCAAGGTGATGGAGATAGTGAACTTTGAATGCATACAACAATCACCCAGAGCTAATTAGTGGTTTGTAGTTTTAAGGGATAATCAAATGCTGGGTTCTTGTAGGAGACTAAGTGTGTGCCATACTGCTCACTCTGAGGCTTTTTACATGCCTTACACAGACATACAGATAAAATAATTGTAGTAATGAGAAAGAGTCCACTTGCTGCAGACAGACCAGCAAAAACATATTTGTAGCTGGGTTTTGTTTTAAAGCTGGTGCACGAATTACCTGGAATTTCCTGGCCTGTTGTCTGGCTTGACCCTGCTTTGTTGGAGGCAGTCACACAGATCTGGTAAGTGGTGAATGGCAGCAGGTTGTACAGAGTGTACTGCCTGGCCGTGGGGTAGATGTTGTCCATGACAAACTGCCTGTCCTCGTCGTCTTGGGCGTGAAGCATCAGCTCATAGCTGTGAACAACCGAATATGGGGCACACCAGCGTATCTGTGCAGAGCTGTCAGTAATTTCAACCACCTCTCTGAGCCTGGGTGGGTCTGGAATCTCATCTTCCCTCGTTGTGCCAGGGCATGAACACTGGGATATGTTCTGGAGTTCCCTGCACGGCTTCTGCAGGTGCCTGCAAGGATTGTAGTCACAGGCGGCCTGGGCCGTTTGCACCGGGGCTCCCTCCTTTGCTTGTTCTTCGTAGTCGTAGTCGTCGGTGTAATGCGGTGATGGCGTGCTGGGCGCAGGCTCTGAGTGGGCACTGCTCCTTGTGGAGTCCAGCTGTGGGGGGCTCGTTTTGGGGGCACCTTCCCTGGCATGGGTGGCAAAGGAGTGAGTGTGGTGGATGGTGGTGTGGGGGACTCCTGTTCCTCCAGTGGAATAATCACTGGTGGTCTGGTTTAATGGCCCTTCCCGGGGCAATGTCGTGCTGGTGGTTCTGAGCCCTCTCTGTAGCTGTTCTGTTCCAGCTGGACTTGTGGAGCTGTGGTCTGGGGACTGAGCAAAGAGCTCTTGGAGAAAAACTGGGAAGGAGGTTACAGACGCCAAGGGAGGGGGACTGCTTGTGGATTCAGAAACTGCCTCCTCCTCATGGGAGGAACTGTTGGCCTTTGTAAGGATGGGCTCCGTTGGGTTGGATGCTGCCGTGCTCCTTCCATCCCTCTGGATTAGGGAGGTGGTATAGGTTTCTTTGGTTAGCATTGGATTGGATGTTGCTGTGCTCCTTGCATCCCTCTGAATTAGGGAGCTGGTATAGGTGTCTTTGGTTAGCATTGGATTAGATGTTGCCATGCTCCTTACATCCCTCTGGATTAGGGAGCTGGTATAGGTGTCTTTGGTTAGCATTGGATTAGATGTTGCCATGCTCCTTACATCCCTCTGGATTAGGGAGCTGGTATAGATGTCTTTGGTTAGCATTGGCTTGGATGATGCAGTGCTCCATGCATCCCTCTGGATTAGGGAGTTGGTGTGAGTCACATCTGTGGTCAGCAGAGCTGAGTCTGTCACTACAGCAGAGGCATCATCGCTGGTGAAGCTGAAAGCACCACGATCAGGAAGGGCTGTGTTTGACGTGGGCTGTGTAATGTTGCTCTCTGACTGGCATTTATCGTAGAGCTCCAGCAGTGAAAAAGATGTCGAAGGTCTGCCTGAATCTTCCTGGGGTGTGCAAAAAGTCTCCCAAGCCCTGCAGAGGGAAAACAGAATCGTCAAGATCCAGAAGAACATTACAGGTTTCTGTAGGCTGCCTGGATTGGAATTGGTGACCTGGTGTCAAAACCATCTTTATGTTAGTGAGAATGTGAAACCTAGACCAAAGCTAGATTGCCTTAACAACAGTCCAGGCAGCTTTCCACAGCACTGACTGTGGAATTTAGTTTTTAGTTTGCGCTCTTTAGATTTGTAAGGTGCAGGGATATCTTATGCCCGAGGGGAAGTGTCCTTTGATACAACAATGGCTGTGAACTTAAACAAAGGGCATCGGGATTCAGCTTGTCTTAAAGGGTCAGACTTTACTGCAGCAGTAACAGGAGAACACATGCAGCCAGCTGTAACAGGATTCCCCGGATTCTTAATCCATCTGGTTTAGGCAGCTGGAGGTGGGTTGACCCGGGACTTTTAAATGACTAAGATCGAATACTTTATTTACTCAGACACTGAAATTCTGGTAAAGAATGCAACTGCTAAACCCATCCCGATGAAAAACTGTCTAATTTCAACAATCTACTTCCCTGCTCTCTGAGAGATTTGATGACAAATCTTCTTGGTGGCCTTTGAAAAGGAAGAGAGACCATTTATATGCAAATACTTCCTTTAACTGCAGCTTACTGTAATTAGTCCGTAAAACTGTAGGGGAGCATGAAAACAATAGGTGAGAAATGGTGCTATTTGCGAGGGGTTTTGTTGACTGCCGGTGCTGATGTAAGCTTTGCAAGTAGCAGGGTGAGGAGAAAATAATTTGTTAAAGATCTTTCAAAGTTTCCCACTTGCTGTTCCCAGCGCTGGCACATCAAGACAGCTCATTTTCTATCCTCGGCTAATATGGAAATATGTGAAATATGGTCCAAAACAGTAAGAAAATATTCTCACCTTAAAGCAGAATCTACAACTAATAACACTTTATGCTTTGTCCCTGAAAGGGACATTATTTTGCACTTCTACCTCTTGTGGAAGGGAAGAACACACAAGGAATTTGAATAACTGAGTGAATGGTGGTGAATGTCTGGTCACAGACAACTTGCACACTGAAGTGTCTGAAGAGCATTTCTTGATCTCTTGAGCTCACTTACTTTTGCAGAACAACTTTCTCGGGCTTGGACAGCAGCCAGGAGAGCTGGCAGCTGCACAGCAGAGGATTCCCGTACAAGCTGATGGTGATGCCATCCGATGAGCTGGTGTTCCAAGGATTAAAGGAACTCAGGTTACAGCTACAAGAAGACAAATACAATAATTAAAAACCACTGAGCTACCTTCCAACGACTGGAGCTTGCTTAGTATCCCTTACCCTTAGTGTGTGTCAGGCACAAAGCAATATTCCCAGTTGCTGTGGCAGTAAGCAGTTATTATACCCACCATCCTGCACTCTGCATGCTCAGAAGATGCTCTCTTCTTTCTAGGACTTGAATTCCTTAAAGTTTGGGCATTATTTTTAGCACTTTGAACTGGTATTTCTGCAAGTGTTGGAAAGTGCTGTGTAAATTCAGTAGGGCAATCAAGGGGGAAGGAATCCATAGGATTTTTGCTTTGTATGGGTTTATTTTCCTGAAACTGGTTTCTAGGCACAGCCAGTGCTCTAGTGTTTGTTTTCTGATATGCTTCTATCTGGGTCGCTATTATAAAAATGTTTCAAAGTGCTCTCCAGATTTTTTCCTTTATGCTGACTCCTCTGTGTGCACTTCACCTGCTCTTATTTTGATAATCAGTTTCAGACTTTTGTCCCTCTTAGTATTTCAGGTATGTGACGTACCAAGAGGTGCTACCCCTAGAATGAGAACTAAAACATTGCTTTTATTAATGATGAACAAGGAACCATATTAAACTCTCACACTAAAAATGGAAAGGACAGGATTTTTGTCTGCTTCTGAGATGCAGGTTTTGGGGAACTGTCAGCACTCATCCTTGCAGAGCAGGGAACCCTCAGTGACCTGCTTCTCCTCTGATGGGATATTGCCCTTGGAAGCCTGGTCTTTATCACAAGCAGGGCTCAGTGGATCTGTGCTGATCTAAACAGCGCTGGGTGAATTCATCCATGGGACAGGGAGATAATGCAGAGGAGTGGGAACACAATGGATGCAACCTCAAGCAAACAGTTAATTGTGCTGTGAGCCCCATGCTGCCTCCTTGGGTTGTATCAGCTCTATCAGGCCAGATCACAGATTTTACATGGCAAAGACAGCAAGACCACACCTCCTTCCTAAATCTGATAACAAACTGTTCAATTCAGCTCCCAGGCACCACAGGCTGTGAGGCAAAGGCAGCATTATGTGAGGAAGGACAAAAAAACCCAACTCACTTCTCAAATGAGAGATGGCTCAGATGAGGAGCACTGCCAAACATCTCTGTCTGCACGAAAGCCAGGGAATGGGAGTCCTGACAGTGCAGCTCTCGGAGACCAGGCAGAGACTTGAAGAAGCCGCTGTCGAGGCTTCTTAACCGTGGCATGTTTGTCAGGTGAAGTGAACTGAGGTTGGCCAAATCTCTGGCCCACTCTGGTTGAACTGAAACAGAAAAATATTTACAGCTATTGCCTGAACAGAGCATTCCTGTGGATTTCTGCCTAGAAAAAGGGTTTAAATTCATAGATATAAAGTATACCTTCTACAGCTGTTCTCTTTGGGAAGGGAATAGAACAAAAGACAATACATCAGCATGTAAACACTCATGCAGCTGCATTTTTGTAATAGTCCCTGCAGGTCAGGCTGTCATAGGGCAGGGGAAAAGAGGGGAAAATAGGACAACAAAGCTGATAAGAGATATGGAGTAGACTTCTTGTTGGGTGAGATTAAATGAAGAAGGATTTCTCTGCTCAGGAAAGTGGTCTACAAGGTCCTGACTGCTGCAAGAAAGGCAAATCACTTCTTTCTCCTAGCACAGGAAAAAGAGCCAAGAGGCATGAAACTGAAAGGATAGGTCTTGTACAAAAAGGGCCTTTCTGTCCCATGACTCACAAGACAGATTAGGCAAATTTATGGAGGAAATTTGGTGGTGCAGCTGTTCAATGTGAGTTGAACTGAAGCCTCTAGCTTGAGGAGGCCCTGGCCCTGCCCCAGGCTGAGAGCAGCTGGGCAAGGCATCTCACATCTGTGTGTGTCAGTACCTCAGGTATAAACTGAGGCTGGCAGAGGAGGCCAGCAAAAGGGAAAAAGCCTCCTGTGCATCGCTCGGGGCAGGGATTGTCTCCCAACTCAGCGGAACTATTTGGCCGGGCCAGGGATGGCACAAAAAGCCTCTCTGTGCTACTTCAATGCAGCTCTAAAAGCTGAGTGTAGCTGTGGGGACAAAGAAAGATTTCAACAGCCTGTCTGGAAAGAGAAACTAATTTCCTCCTGTGCTTCCCAAAACTAATCCCGGGGCTGACAGGGAGGTGACTGTCAGTAGCAGACAGTGGGATTAGGATGGAGGTGGGTGACTGCTCTGGGACAAATCGTCCTGTCTCATGGTGTTTGGTCTCTGCCCTTCCTCTGGGAGGCTGCTTCTCGTGACAGCGCCTTGCACGCCTGGAGCAGCTGTTTGCAGCTTTCAGTGTGGGGTGTTCCCCCTGCACTCCAGGCTCAGCCAGGATGGCAGCCATCGTCCCAGCAAGGCTTCTGCTCCCCCGGTCTGACCAAGCCCTGTGTTTACAGTGGGAAATCCAGAAACTTACTTTTCTCAAAAAAGGTCCCGCTCAGATCAAGCACACTGATGGAGTTTCCAGGCCCGTTCTTGGCCTCGTTGGGATCTGTGCTGACGGCAAAAGCAGAGTCCCTAATTCCTCTGCTGTCATCCTGCCCGAGCAGCGTTGCAGAGAGGTTCAGGACCTGCAGCTGAGGGTAGCAGGAAAAAGCCAGTGGCTGGATTTCAATCAGGGGATTTCCAGCCAAGGACAACCACCTGAGGTTAGGCAGGGCTGAGCCGTGGCAGGATGGCACAGATGACAGCTTATTAAAGCTCAAGTCCAGCTTGAGGAGGCTGCTGAGGGCTTCAGATCCCCACCTCACTGACCAGAGGCGGTTGTGCCTCAGCGAGAGGACACGCAGCTGTGGGAGGTTCGCTATCTCTGTGCCATTCACCTCTTCCAAGAGGTTATTGCTGAGATCCAGGGTCTCCAGGGCCTCCGGAAGGCAGACTGGGAAAGCTGTCAGGCTGCTGTTGGTCAGCTGCAGGGTGATCCAGGTCCTGTTCTTCTGATCCTCACAGGACATGCTGGTGAGATTAACATTCTCCCAAGAGTCCTCCTGAGCCAGCTGGAAAAAGGTGGTGACATCCCTGGATGCTGCTCTGCTCACCAGGCCATGTGCTGTGGTCCCCAGCAGCAGAGGGAGGATGAGCAAGGGTGACAACATCCTTCTCAGAGGTGCTTGTAGTTTGCAAGATCTGTTTCCTTTGTGTATCAGGGAGAGGAAAACAAAACAACAACATTTAGAGCTAAATTAAAATCCCTCCAGTCATCTAAAAACTATTTAAAAGAGAAACAGTTTATAAGCCCTTTCCTATTATTTCCAGATAGTGATAAGTGATAATTAATAGCTCTTCTGTAATTAAGCCTAAGTAAACATAAATTCTTAGGGACAGAAGTGTCATGCAGTCCTAGTCTAAATGTGCCTACAGTCGTTCATGCAGGAAGCATGAACCAAGTTGTATCCCACACCAGGACCCTCAGGGCCAGCAGGTTGTCCTGCAGTGTCCAGTTTGGCCAGCCCAGTGGGAAGAGTTTTCCAGTGGGGTGATGCCCCAACAACCGGGTCCAATGTGCCTGTGGCAGGGGACTGTTTTCTGTGAGGTTGTGTAAAGCAAATGAAGAGATCCGAGGACAGAGGAGAGTTGCCGAACTTTACAGCCCAGGACCCCAAACTGGACTGAGTTGTGTTGGAATAGGCAGGTAAAAGTGCCTTTCCTGTACCAGGAAGGACTTTCTTTTCCTTAGCAGGAGCTGGAACAGAAAATCCAGGGACTTGTGTGGGCTCTGCCACGGCAGTTCTGCCCCATTCTGAGGACGGTTCCAGTGGGGACCCCACCGGGAGTTTTGGGCTCCTGAGCAGCTGGCAGTGCCCCCCAGCCTGTGTGCCAGGCACAGGGGCTGGGCTCTGCTGCAGATGAGAGCCACAGGCAGGCTGCACGGCCCAGCTGCTGGGAAAGGATGCACTGAAAATGCAGCTCCCGAACCACATTTCAGTGGAAGTGGTCAGAAACTGAGTATGCTCCTGGATCGGGGCCCCAAAGGCCTGAGCGCCAAGAAACATGTTCTTTAGTGTTACAGCTCCCGCCGTGCTCCCTCCTCCTCCCACCCCCGGTTTGGTCTCTGTAAAAAAAAAAAGTCCTTAGTGACTTGTGCGAGGTCCCCACAGGTGAGGTGTGTCAGAGGAAGGAATTAACCCCAGCCCCAAACTCGTGCTTTTCTTGTTGAGCTGTCTTTTGTGCTTCCCGGCAACAAAATGATGTTTCCTCGCCCAGAAATATATTACAGTGTAGGGTGGTAACCGAAACCCCACGTCCTATGAAATATCTCTGACTTATTCCAAAGTTTAATTGCTCCTTGCCCTTCCCTGAATGACGCCAGGACTTGCCCAGACCGTTATCCTTTGCTGCCATCCCAGGTTTGAAGTAGGGAGCAGCAAAATAGCATACACCGGAGCACCAAAATAATGTGTTGTGTTTGCCTGTGTCCTTCTCGTCAGAAGGAACCGTGCAAGATCCGAGCAGCCTCAGGGCTTCCCGGTCACCGGAGCCGCTGGATCTCCTGCTCAGCAGCACACTGGCAGGGAGAGGATGGGAAGAATTGGGCTGCTGTATTCCAATCTTAGATTTAATCTTAATCTTTGCCTCTAAACCGCATCCGCTTGCACGTACCTGTCCCAAAGTCCCGGTGCCTCGTGCCTGCGCTCGGAGTGGCTCCGACTGCTTGGCCTTGGTTTTATACGCTCGGGGTGACTCAGCCGGCGTGAACTGACTGCCTCTCTCTGTTCCCAGCTTTCCCTGCTCCCGGCTCTGCCCACAGGCTCAGGCGAGGTTTGTTCCAGGCTCGCTCCCCCGCGTGCAGCTTTGAGAGGGGGCGGCTCCGGGCAGCTTTCCCCGCTCTCTCGGCCCTAGCAGGAGGTGGGTGGGAGGGCTCTTATTTCCCAACACTCAGGCAGGGCTGCTCCTGTCTGTCTTTGTCTAAGCAGAGGGGGGTAAAGGGAAAAGATCAGTGTCAATAGTCCCGACTCTCACGTCTTCCACCAACGGGGGGAGGGAGGGGAATTGTTGTGCTCCTTTGTTGGCAGGTCAGGATGATGTAAAGCTGAGGCTCTGCCTGCTGACATGAGCTTTGGTCTCTCTTTAGGCGCCAATGAGGGGCTTCAAGTGTTTAAATTTCTAAGACTCTTGCTCTTGAGGAGTAAATCCTGCAAAAGTTCACGCAGGACAAATTACTTTTTTTAAGGAGGCTCTTAGGATATGTCAGAAGTGAAACTCTCACCTGCTCCTCTCGCAGAGAGGAATTCTCTCTGCCATGGAGAGGGCAGGGCGTAGGGCATCTCACTCCCCGTGCCACGGCCTTTGGGAGGCCTCTGCTGGTCCCGCTGTGCGTGGGCTGCGTTCTCCGTTCGCATCTGTGTACCACATGGCTTGGGACAGTTCCCTTCGTGCTACTTCTCTCATCCTTTGCTGGATAAGTAAAACTGACAACATAAACCATCTCCCACTGAGGGACCTGCCCCGAGCTGGGTTTTTCAGCATTCCCACAATTCAGACAGTAATTAGGTCGAGAGCAGAGAATAAAGTCAGGGAAGCGATCACATAAAGGGATGAGTTGATGGAGATTGTTCCAAAGTAAAAGCAAATGGGTGGTTGTTCTGTTGCTACTGTAGGACAATTAATTGTTAAAATTTCCAAGGAGAACAGTAGTCAGTGCTTTTCCTTTATCGGGGCAACAAAACAGATCCCCGACATGAAGGCAGCACCGACCTGTAAACTTCGGTGCTAAAGAGCAGATAAAGGTCTTGCTTGCCCAAAAACGTTGAGTCTGCAAGTACGCATTAGGCAGACCTTATCTACTGACCGTGTGGGCCATTATGTGCGTGGGGAGAGAGCCTTGAAAAACACCAGAACGTCCACAGAACAGAGATAGGGGCTTCCAGCAGGACTCCCTGGAGCCTCCGCCGTCCCCTCGGAGGCTGGGCGAGCCGCACGTGTTGTTGCCCTGCGGAATGGCTCTAGGGCCAGACCGATGGTTTCCTAAATGAGGGGCTAATCCCCGCGTTGACCCTGGTGGGCAGGCGGAGCGGGGCAGCCGGGCCGCACGTGCGCGCCCGCAGGTACCTCCGGAGCTCCGCGGTTCAAAGGGTAAAGTGGGGCAGGTTACAAAAATCTGAAGAATTTGGGATAAGGGGTGGAAAGCTCAGCTCCACACAGGCCGGTGGAAACCCTGCCTTCCCTCAGGCTTGGCAGAGCTGCCGGCTGCGGCGCTCCTCTTTGGGAAGCCGAGAGGTGGCCTGGCTTTGCCCTGGACTATTAAATACTTGTGTTTGCTGCCCTTAGCTCAGTATTTACAGACAGGGAATTTTATTTGCTTGTTTTAGGGTTATTTGTAATCCTATTGATTTTAATATCTTACAGAAAATACTCTGGGAAACTCGGTGAGCCAAAAGCTGCCTTGGTTTTAATGAGTTCATCCTTACTGATTTAATTTTGGAGACTGAGTCGAGCAGACTGTCAGACTGGGAAAGAGGCTGCTCGTTTTGGTGAAGGTGGAAGGGAGATGGAGGTTTTCTTTGCCCAGAGGCCCTTGATTTCTGAGTGATACAGAGAACCTGTTGCAAGAGGCAGAGCGCCCTTGGAAAATGAGCTTTGGTTATTTTTATTTTCCGTCTTTGTTTCTGCTTTTTTCGTTGGCCAGTTTTTGTGGCAGTTATTGTATTTTCCCATTGTATGACATGGTATTTCTTTGCTTAGCTGCAAACTCTCATCATCTGAAATATTTCTGCTATGGTGCTACATCTCAGGCAGCTGCCCAGGTACTGCTGGAGGTTTCCCAGAGCAGGCAGCAGCCTTCGTTCACAAGTTTCTTTGAAATATCTGCTAACAGCAGGCAGAGATTTCTCCTTTGTGATTCACTTTGGCTTGTTCTCATGTCGCCTTTTATTCTTTATTCCTCTTTTCTGAGAGTTTCGGTGACAACCTGAGGGAGCAGTTAGCAAAGGCAGGCGTTCCTGTCAGCCTTTTCACACGCGTGATGCAAAGAGAGCTGAAGCAGACGCCCCTTCCCCGGGGGCGATTCAGGGCTGCACAAAGCCCCTCTGCCCGCAGGAATTCTCGGGCTGAGCCCTGCATTCCTTAGTGACACCAAGATAAGCAGAGCAGGAGAAGGTGAGGATGGTACCAGGCTGTAAAGTTTAAGAGGTGAATGTTTTTTACTGGCCGTGATCCAAGTGATGGTTAAGAATGAAAATATCCCGAAGAAAGGCTTTTAAAGCGAACAAAAGAACTGTTTCACAGGTCTGTCCACAGAGCAAGCACAAGCAAGACGTTTTCCTACAGAGAAAGGGGAGAGAATGGAAGAACAGGATTATTTAGCCTGAGGTTTCAGAAAACGATGGGGTGTGTGTCTCCTAACCCAGGCTGAAGGCAGTGGTGAAATCCCTTATGGAATTTGATGTAAGAACAGCAGGATCCTCTGACATCGGCAATGCTTTACCCTGACCTGGCTTGGGTTTAATTAAGCACCGTGTAGAGAATAGGGTTGCAGCTGAGCTGAGGTGTAAGTTTCCTAAAGGTTTGTTTTCATCTAATAACATTCCTGTCTAGGATTTAATCTCTGTATTGCAAAACTTCAGGGCAGACGCCCCTGTCCTGCTTTCACTCATTCTGGGAAACCTCTCCCACATCTGGCACTGTGCAATTAATAACGTGGTTTCTGCAGCCCGCTGAGCCCGTGGTCTTAACCCTGTGTATAAATAGGTGTGATGAGCTCATGAGAGCCAAGGGTGATCAGCTTATTGCACAAATTAGGGAGGGTGTGGAACTCCACGTGCATTGAGGGAATGTCCGGAGCCTGGTGGGACGTGCTGGGTGACATGGGGTGGGATGAAAGATGATTCCAAGCTGTGGCTGGTGCAGGTGTCAGGCAGGGCAGGTTGGGGCAGGCCTCCTCTCAGGTGCTGCCCACCATATCCAGCCTGGAATTGTGGAAGTGCAGGAATGCCCTGCGTCCTGCCTTCCCACTCCAGCCTCTCCAGGAAGGAGTCTTCCCACTGAAACCTCTCCTCTGTGTAGGAAGAGGAGCTGCAGTCACACGCAGCACTCAAAGCAGCTGGATAAAACCAGTTTCCTTTCCCACCTATTCCCCACCTGTTGTGAAAAAGCCTTGCATAGTGAGCGAGGCAAGGAAAAGATACAGCTGAATGACCTGAGGAAATACAGAGAGAGGGCATCAGCAGGGGATCACTCTCTGAAACCTAAAATGGCAAAGGATAGGGCTTACAGCCAGCCGGGATGAGGTGGCAGAACCCCTCCTTGAAAGCAGCAGTGAAGGATTTAGTCGAAAGGCAGTGACACATTGGGTAAGATTGAAGGAGGGGCAGGAAAGAAAATGGAAATATTTGCTAGTTTCTCTGAAATCCCAGCAGAGACAGCTTGAACTGCAAGTGAACGTGCTTGTTTAGCAACGAAATGAGCCACACTCTGCTAATGAGAGCTATGCTCGGATTTCCCCTGTCTCTGCATTCCTGTGCTCAGGTCACGTAGGCAAGTGACAACTACAGGGCCTCCATGCAGCACTCTGGGACAGGCTCTGCTCCGAGAGGGGCAGCATGGGCTGTGCTTCCCAGGGAGCAATCCACAGGAGGATTTGCTCCTTGCCAAACGAGGGGCTCCGTGCAGGCACGGTCAGGATCCTCACTGCAAAGCCTAAGTGGAGACTGATCTGGAAGGCAGCTGTCTGTGGAAGAGATGCTGGCACTAATATGAGCATTTAGCTCTCCCACGGCACCCTTAGGCAGGCTTTAAATATGGCCAGTGTTCGGCCTTGGGGAGGAAAATACTTGGCTTGTGTCAAGCAGGTGACAAGTGGGTAAGTTCTCTTCTGAAGGAAAACTGGATGGTCCCTCAGCCCATGCAAGAAGTGCTGAGGAGGGAGAAGAACAGAGGGCTGGGAAGCAGGCTGTAATTTTTTTATTTTTTCAAAATATTGAGCCATAGTTTAAACTGTACAAACTGTGAGTGATTCCACTGACGTCCATTGGCAGGGGCTAGGGAAAGGGAGAGCACATGGCATGAAAATCAGGCCCAGTGAAGTTTATGAATTTATGCTGATTTCTGCAGCATCCCTTTACGATATGACAACACCTATCCATTGTATTTATTTAGATATGTGAAACGAGTTTTGGTTTGTCCAGTAGTTTCATGAATTCTCCTGGTTTCACTCTGTCCTTGCTTTACAGGGTAGTATCAAATTTCATTCACTTCGGTGGATGTGTGTGGCTCTTTCCAGCAGGCAGAGCTGCTGGCTTCAGATCTGGTTCCTCAGAGACATCCACAGTTCCTCTGGGAAACCTGTGCCAAGGCCTTTCCACCCTCACATAGAAGAATTTCTCCCCAAGATCTGATCCAGCCCTGCCCTCTGTCAGAGGGAAGCCATTTCCCCTTGTCCCATCACTGTGTGCCCTTGGCAGAAGTCCCTCTCCAGCTCTCTTGTAGCCCTCCCAGGGGCTCTAAGATCTCCCCAGAGCCTTCTCTGCAGGTTGAACACCCCCATCTCTCAGCCTCTCTCCAGAGCAGAGGGGCTCCAGCCCTCTGAGCACCACTCTCTGCATTTTGCAGCACACATGTAAAATCATCATTTCTACAGGCTTTTCAGATCCTCACATGAACAGCTTAGTTCAGTGAGATGTCACAGTGAAACAGAGTAACAGGGACAGAAATAGAAACGCACTCAGAGGCCTCTTCAATAGTTTTAGATAGTTCCTAAAGCACATTTTTCAACCAGGTAAGTAACAATGTTTCTCAAAAGATGAACCTTTTGGATCCAGTCTTGCCAAGACGAATGCTCTGTGTCTTCTCTGGCTTTCAGGAAACCACTTCAGTGGATGAAGGTGGACATGGGTTCCACATTTTTGCACAACTGAGTAACCACTACAGGAGTTTCAATAGCTTAGTCTGCAGGACTTTGGAATGTTTTGTGTTCTCAGGGCAAGTGTTAGACAAACCGTGGAGCTTTAAAATACATATTTATTCAGCTTTAGTTCTGATAAATGCTGGGCTCTTTAACAATGGCCAGTTTAACAATGGAAGTTGCCTGGCTGTAACAGAGAAGAAAATTCACTGTACCATATCTTCAAGTTACTTGTTCTGGATGCTTAAACCGATTACTGTAATTAAAAATACTAGATTTAAAAATTGTCCAGTGGCTAGACACTGTTTATTAAAAAAAAAATTGAGCTGTACAAAAGGAAGTCAAAGATGATTAGATTTTCTCAAGTATTGGAGTTGTCATACTGTATCCAGTGACTTTAGCTTCAGTATTTAACAAAAACTGTAAACCATTCCAGTCATAGTACAAGACTGACACATACACTAATTAGTAGCCACCAATTAACAATCAGAGATATTTTTGTTTCATCTCTGGTAGTCTTAGCTCTAAGAAGAAGCAGGCAGTGGGAAGAGAGTTTACTTCATCTCATTCCTGACCTCCAGTTAATTTGTGGAACAGTTCTTCATCCAGCGTCTCATTGTGGTCCTTGGAACGCGTTGACAAGAAGATGTAGCCCCCAATATACTCATGGATGATTTTGCAGTCTGCACTCAGGCACGTGAAAGCGATGGACACATTCTGGTCAAACTCGATGGCAACCTAAGGACAACAGATGTGGCAAAATCAGACAGATAAGCCGGGAAAAAAGAGAAGTGTGGGAACACTGCTGGATCACAAATGCTGTGATGAAACATCACCTGCCTCTGCTAACCAATAGTTCCCGGTCTGCTGGATGCTCAGGGTGTTCGGCTGATTGGGTTTGGATTTGCTGCTACACCAGGGCCCTCTTGTGGTGAAATACTTTTGCTTGCTCAAGCAGGCAAAATCTTTACGCTTTTTCCCAACAGCATATAAAGTGAACACTGGGAGGAGCAGGAATGGCACTCCTGACTCTTTGTCTAATGAATAATGTTTAATCTGTCCATTGTTATATGCTGACCTTAAATCTGCCTTTCGGGTCCCGGTTTTGGTTTCCAGCTACTGTTAGTTCTAAAATGCAGCTAACTGAGCTTAGTTGATCACTGTGGATTCTGCCTTTTTTGAGAGGGATTTAATGTAAAACCAGCAACCTGACCCAGAATTACAAGCTCTGGTGCAGGGAGTACTGCAGGAGAGAAGCAGGGAGTTTGTCTGATCTCTGCTGGTTCCTGCAAAACTCCATAAGCAGCAACAGTTTCCAGGCTGCTTCAATTTACATCAGGTCACACCAGTTCCACCCCAGAAATCTACAATTTATACAGTTGGATTTAAGCTTTGAAGCCCCAAATAATGGACCACACATGGACAGAGTTACAGGGCTTGCAATATCAGTTTGGGATTCGAAAGACAAACTGGGTTCCTGTATCCTCAGTCTGTAATGGAGACTGAACCACCACAATGTAGAGGATGATGCATAAGAGTTAAAATGAGATTTTTACTGACAGAGCAGTAAACACAACATGCTGGAATTCACCTTGGAGTCTCTATTTCATCCCATCAAAATCAAGAGCAACTTGTCAAGAACAAGGTAGGAACCTTTAAAACTGGTGATCTTTTAGTTTCTGATTTTTGACTACAGACTCCACTAAGAAAAACTGCAAACAGCTTATTTAATAACATGTCACAACATGTTCAAAATCTTTTCAGTGAGGTTTGAAAATATTTTCTGAAAGCATCCTTGAGTGTGTGAAATGCAAGGGCTGAAGGCAGAGCCGTTCCAGGTTTACCTGGCGGATTTCCCAGTTCACATTCCACTGCTTCATGTTGGAGAACCTCCACGTTGTGATAGGATCTCCTGTGGCCATGTCTATCCGTATCAGCCTGTTATAGGACACCCCAAGCACATCATCCTTCTTGCTTCCTTTAAACCTGAAAAGAACCCAAAGCCTTTGAGCAGATCTGCTTTGCAATGATTTCTGGCTGGAGAAACATTTCAGCTGCTCTCCCCTGAAAGTGCAAAAAAACGTGGGAAAAGTCACAACAGCCTGGGAGTGAGGAGAGCTTGGACCCATCTTTAGAACAGGATTTGTTATAAAGCAAAAGTGCAGGCTGGTGAGCCATGGTGTAAGGTGGAAAATAAGGAAGGTAGATCTGGCTGAAATCTTTCCATTTCATCGTTTCCTGCTAAAAAATACTGTTCTTCCCAAATGCATGAATGGATTATATTTTTACTGGAAAAAATGCCAACAATAATTTTTGTTGCTTAATATCTCTAATGTTGAAACTTGTTCCTCTAGTTATATTAACCTATATTTACCTAAATGATATCATCAAAACAACTGATATATACATGTTTTTTGAGTATATCACATTACAAAATTACTGAGGCATTTTAACATTTCAACTTTCATCTGATTAGAGATGAAAAAAAAATATGAAAGTGTCAAAATCTTTGGGGGACAAAATTTTTTGAGTTGGGAATAGCTAGGAGCAGATTATTCTGGTAAAGAAACAACCTTCCTCTACCTTTCTGATAAAAGCTGGAAGAAATCTCATCTGCCTGCTGTGAGTATTTTCAATATTTCTGATCCTGTTTGTGAACCTTCTCTCTTTAGATGCAGCTGGACCTTAGGGACAAAATGTGACCTGGACACAATTTGTGCTTTGCTTAACGCCCCACTGAGATACTGTCCAGCAGTTTGCAGCAATTCACCACTACAAAACACAGTTTAGGTGTTGGATTTGTTTGTGCTTTTAACAGGATTAATGGTGACAGATGGGGCAAAAAACCTGTGCCTGTGGCAGTAAATTCAACAGCATCAGGGACCATTTTTGGGCATGGAATTCAAGGAGAATTCTGGCTCCAAACAAGCAGTGCTCTCTCAGGTGACTCCCAGGCACAGTCTGGAACCTGGGACATGCAAGGACTGGCACAATCTCACAGTTCACATGAGGCTACTGGATTTTGGGAAGTCACAGTTCAATAGTGCAGATCAGTCTGTACCACAGATGATTCCTAGCCAGCCCTGGAAGGAGTGTTAAGCATAAATTAAGGAAGGTGCCTCCAAGTATGGTTGTGTCAGTAATTTTCAGCTTTTTGGTGTTTTGTCAAGAGAAAAGGCTGCAGGTCAGACCTCTGCTGTGGAAGGAAGCTGCTGTGAATGCAATGGGACCTTTCTAGTGCTCACTGCTCTTCCAGATTAGCCTTAAAAAGGGATAATTTGCTGTTTTCTTAATGAAGTACAAAAGAAGTTAGCATTTTATCATATTGCAATGAACAAGGGTCAGAGTGAACACATCCTGCAAACCTGAGCACACCAATTAGACATGCATTTTATACATTTTGGAGAGTTTATGACAGTAAGATTTTAATGCTAGTGAGAGGTTACTTCAGGCTGAACCCAAGAAGTCTGTACCAAGGCAGATGTAATGAGAGTCTCACTGCAGGAATGGGGCTGCTGGGTGCTACTCCTATAGAAAAAACCAGCAGGATGGAACTCACAAAAATTAAAAGAAGGCTGTGGGGAGAAAACCAGAAAATGTTCTTGGAACAGGGTGTCAAAGAACTTCCTGTAAATCACTGAGCATGAACTCTTGCAGCCGCTTGACGTGAGTGAGAGTGCACTTACCTTACAATGTAGTAGGATAAACCAAACTCAGGGAGAGACTGCCAGGCTTGGATAAAACGCAGCTTGGCTTCCACCAGGGACATCTGGGATACATTTTGGTGGGCTTCCAGAATACGGGCAGTCAGCTGGGAAACACAGGAAGGGAGAAAGTTTTCAGCTGACTGGAGAACAAAAACCCTGTTGCTTTCACTAAATCAGAAATCATGAGGTCTGATGCCGTGTTCAGACAGTTGTCACTGTTTGTACAGATGCAGCACAGAGGGCACTTGGGGACACATCCCATGTGCAAAGGGCAGAATGCACAGCAAGGTCTCAGGTCTGGGTTTGGGAGGCACTGCCCTGGCTTCATACACTGCTCTGGGGACCCTCCTCAGGATGGGCAGGCTGAGCTCTTGCACAGCAAAAGCAGGACAAGGAAGTAGGTGGAGAGCAAGGAAAGGCTTGAAGGGCAAAAGGACCCGAAGACCCTGTTGATTCAGATGGAAACAGTGGCTTGCAGTCCTTAAAATGCTTTCTTTGTTACTCTGAAGAGACTTTCAGGAACAGTGTTATCAGGAGCAGAACACCATGGATGATTTAAGCCAGGATATAGATGTAGGAAAGGTGCTTGGAGGAGGTGCCAAAACACCTGTCCCTGTGTTCAGTTTGAAGAAAAGGCCTCTTGTCAAGGGACAAATGACTATTGCAGGGAGTTGTGCTGCTTGGCTTCCAAATGCTGCTTTGATCCAGCCTCATCCCTAAGCAACCCCTGGGATCGCCCACGCCCAGCCATCAGCCGTACTCAGGATACCTGCTTGGACTTGAATTTTTTGGTATAGCGTGGTGAGACGAAGCATTCGGGTTTCATATCTACATTCTCTGGCTCAGAGGCAGCCTGGGAACACATGGTCCAGTTCTTCATCTGGAGGAAGGAAAGGATCTTTTGGACCTCGGGCTGGTAGGAGCTGTCGGCCATCGTTCTGCCCTTGGAGGCCAAAACACAAGCAGCCATCCACCGAGCGTACTGATCCTCCTGAAACAGACAATTGTGTGTTACTGTTCTTCCTTCCTGACTGGACTAGTTCCAACTACACCTGGCTTTTACATTTTCTAAGAAATCCAATACCTTGAAATAGATTCTCTGGGAAATTTTATTGCATGACTGGTTTTCACCTACTGAACACTTTTTACACAATTTGATCTGATACGTTTCAATAAACTGAAAACTAATGTAAGATCCTTATCATGCTCTCCTCATCTGGATGGGAAGAGTTCTAATTAAGAAAAAAGAAAACAAAATCCAAAGTTCAATTCTCTGACAACATTGGAACAAAATACTGTAACTTCTTTTTTTTTTTTTTTGATAGTTCGTTCTGTCTTTTTTCCTATTAGCTTTACTTGGCAACTGGTGGTAAGCACAAGATGACTTACTGCTCTTATTATGTATTTAACAATTATGTATTTGTTAGGCCACAACATCATTCTTGAATTTTCTAAAGATTTAGACAATAAACTCTCTGCAGCATCCTCATTTTTCTATAGAAATTCTGGAGCAGGACAATCTGCCATAAATCTTGAATTCAAATTTTCTCTTATTACTCACATTATCACATCTTAAATATACTTCATTCATGCCATCCGCAACAGGAATTAGTAATTTGATTCCAAACTTCTTTGCTGCAACATTTACATCTGGTACAACTTCACATCCTAGACCACAGGGAATCAGAAGGAAATTAATTTATTTCATTACTATATCAGTAACTTTAATTACTGCTTTAACACTAAGGAACAGCACTTTGTGGTTTTTCTTTGTGAGTAAGGGCCAGGACTTTTGAAGCTTAGGCCCTACTGAAAGGTTTTGTTCCAGCTCACTGCCTGGTCTGGCTTGCCAGGGTGATGAATGCTCTGAGCTCAGGGAGCACGTGAGTCAGCATGGAAGTGAAAGGATGGGAGTGCTCCCAAAACTTCAGCCTGATCTTAGGAAACACTCAGCACTTGAAATGGAGAGAGGAACTGGAGGGAGAGGCTACTTGGTGAGGTTCCAGCCACCCTGGCTCTTTTTCCAGGCATTCTCTGACCTATTGAGGATATGCAGACTGGGATGCAGAGCCATTTGCTCACAGGGGTCAATCTTGTATTTCAAAGGTTTCTTCTAGGATGGGTACTGGGCACCACTGGTTCCCTGACGCTGAACAAAGGGTGTCCCTGCAGGAGCAGAGGTAGATGGAGGCTACAAGGGTGCACAGCCAGGGCTCCTCCTCCAGCAGCTGGCTGTAGCCATGGGAATCCCCATGCACACACAAACAAGGCCCAGAGAAGGTCCTGGAGCTGTCCCTGCACAGCAGAATGCAGGGACAGCCTCTGCCATTCCTGCCCATGGCACCATCCCTAATCCTCTGCTGCCACTGTGTGTTTGCCAAGGACACAGGGGAACACTCTTTAATGTAGAGTGAAAGCATTTGGAAATAAAGCATCCCACAAGTCACATTCCCTACCTGACTCGGCTTGAAGAATTCAGCAGTACAGGGGATTTTACAAATCAGGCTCTGATAATCCCAGTTTGGGTTAAACTATTGAATCCTTTCTGTTTAAGCCTCTTCTGCAGGTGCAATCTGCCTGCTCAGGAGTCTCAGGAACTGAAAAAGCTTCCAGACTAAATGCTGCTGTGCTTGCCTTCCTGACTCCAGCAGGGATTTGTTCTATTCAGTTCACAGATGCAAAAGCAAAATCAAAGAAAGGAGAATTCTTACCTTTCAGGTTTAGTTTCTCAATAGGTTCTCCCTGTGCAGATTCCTTGTTTTTAAAATAAGATACTGAAGTGTCTCTGAAGACAAACCAATATGTCTTGATAGCTTTAAGTGCCAGCTTCTTGGGCCTACCAGAAAAAAAAGAAATCCCATTTGTTTAGATCAACACATACAAACTGCTGAGTCCCTCACAAATATTACAGAGCCTCTGAAATTCAAGGCCATACCCATGGCTTTGGTTGGGTGTGACACCTCTGTGTCAGTGAGGGGGTGGGAAATGCCTGGATCCAGTGCAGGTTATCCCAGGTATGGACATGGTTTTTACCCCAGATTTTAGCTGAATCCCATCTATGATTTTTTCCTCATTTTTTTCTTCCATTACTAATCAAAGCCATTCCCTTCTAACAGACTAATTTTCCCCATGAACTCAGTAACACAAATAACCCCTGATTTATTATGATGAATTTGCATCAGTTTTTCACAGTGCCTTATCTTGAATATCTGCACCCATAAAACCAACTCGTATTCATTGGAAGGAAGCAGAGATCAGCTTTTCTGCCTTAATCTGAATCATATCTAACACAACAAAATTCTATTTCTTCACTGAGTTTACAGAAGCTTTGTAGCCTTTCAGGAGAGAAAACCAGAGGTATTAGCATTTGAGTAGAGAAAATGTGAGTGGAGAAATACTTCACAGCTAGTGACAAAGGTCATCAATGAAGTGAAAAAGAAGAAAAAAGAAAAAAAAATCCAGTATTTCCCTTTAATTCTCAGAGGATGGTACAAAGAGTATAGAACTAGCTGGAAAACAGTGATGTACTATATATACTCTTATTATATATACCTCCAGACCCTCTCTAAAAATCCTAGTTTAGAATCCTTTCTAGAAAATGACAATTTTTATGTTTAAATTAAAAAACCTTGGATTTTCAAAACTACCAAATAATTTGACTTTTAGTTTTCCAATACAGCGACATTCTTCAAAAATAAGGAACTAGATTTTTTTTTAGACAGATAAAATTATTTTTCTGTCTCTGAAAAAGTTGCTGAAAACTTTTTAGAAAGCTTTTTCTTGTTATTATTGAAAAAAATGCTGCAATTCTCCACAATACTGACCCCACGTGAAAGCAGCATTTACTGTGGTGCATACTGTCAATAAACAGGAATAAAAGTTCACACAGGAACACTAAGCAGTGGGACATGCACAGGTTTGCATTCAGCTTTACAATTAATCAAATAATTATAGCCACAAAGTGTTGCTGTTTGAAGAAAAGTTTTACACCCTACCTGGATTCTACAATGTCTTAGGCTTGCTAAGTGATTTATCATTTATATAGGAACTTTTTCATGATGATAAATAACAGCTGAATGCTTATAAAAGCAAACTGTTCTACTGCTGGGGAAAAACAAATAACCCATTGTTAAAAGCTTTAATTCCCTTTAATCTTAAGCCATCTTCACAATAACAATGTCAAATAAAATTCCAAATTGGAAATTAATAATTAACAATAGTTAGCAGTTAACAACAGTTAAAATTTTTCAGGTGCAGTTTTCAGTTCCCAGATTAAAAATACCATCTGTCAACGGATGAATCTGATAAATACTTGTACAACAGAACACTTTATCTTTCTAAAACACAAAGACTGTTTTGTGATAAAAGGCATTACAGACTTGAGGTCTCTACAGTCATTTAAATCACCCATAAAACAAGAGACTACAATGGGATCACAGAAACCCGTTTTGATGTTAGAAAAAACAGACTCCATGTTTGGTAAGAAAGGGGTAATTTGGATGTTCCTTTTGTTTAAAAACTTCATTCCCTGGGGTTACTTTCAGAAATTCTTCTCAGGGAGAACTGCAAGTTTCTTCTGTTCTTTTACTGGCAAAAAAAAAAAAGTAAATATGATTGAAAATAAAACTTAGGCTCTTTTTTTAGAGATGATGACTGATGAGCACTAGGAAATACGGACAGCAGAGTCTTTAATAAGTACAAATACAGGTACCCAGCACCCCAGGAGTGGGAGAGATTTGCCAAGGAACATTGTCAGAAGCAGGAACAGAAAGACTGGAAGAGAACATTAGGCTGGTTAGACCCATCTGGGGTATTTGTCAATTTATAACTGTCAGATGTACTGTTAGATTAGAATGAAAAACTCAAGAGATCTCTCATAAGGTTAAGCTTTTGGTTTTGTATGTTTTATTGTTAATTTTAACAACTCACCTAACTAGCTTGAGATTATCAGCAAGTTTCGGGATGTCTGTGATGTCCTCCTAATAAGGAATAATTAGGAATAATTTTAGTACAATGCACTCTGTAATCAACTGTTAAAAAAATCAAGAACCAGGAAGACTCACGAGAGTCAACAGATTTGGCACAGCAAAGGAAATTCTGGGATCCCACAGGACATACCAAAATGTTACTTTTATTTCCACCTTCCAGTGTCACTTCCAGATTGGAAAGGGCGGCTTCTACTTCATCCACTTCCGATTCACAGGTGGAATCTTGTGTCTCTGATGATAATGATAACTTGCTTACATGGTACTAAAATAAAACATCAGTGTCCAACAGTCAATACATCAATTATCAACACACAATCACAGTGTTTGAAAACAGATCATTTGGTCTCCTGGGTCCTGGACAACTGTGTGAAGTTCTGCAGGAATCAGGGGGTTTTCCCAAGGTAACAGCCGTGCCCACTGTGACTCCTGTGCAATGGTCTCCTATTTTAATTATGAGTGTTTGTATTCCTTTGCTGAATAGTTACCCCTGTTCTGGGAGGCTGCTACATTTGGATCCCTACTCCTGCCATCCACACAAGGTGGAAACTTGGAAGCAAGGTGCTGTGGTGCTCTGCAGTGACAGGCTGTGAATTCTTGTTAGCTCCATTTACATTTAAAAGGAAGGAATTTATTATTAAAGCAACTTTGTGCTTTATTACCTATGGTCAGAGACTAAGCCATGCTCAGTCATGTTAAATTTTCAAGTACTCCATAGTGTCCCTATCTTCTCATTGTGCTGTGGATTTTTCCTGTCTGTTGGGAAATGTCCACAGGGCGTACACATGGTGCATTACAGGAATTTTCAGGAAGAAGAGGTGAAGGGATAGTAGCTGGTATGGGAAGCCACACTTTGTACTAGTACTGACAGCAAAGTTACATTCTGGGTGCAGATAATATTAGTAAATGTTTCCATAGTTATGTGAATAATGGTGTTAGTGCTGCTACTGAATTCAACTGCTTTAGCTGATGGATACTGCTGGTTGTTTCTCACCCCAAGAGCAGACCCCCGGCCCAAGCAGAGCTCCTGGCCTGGGCTCTGTCCTAGTCTTGTCCTAACCTGTGTCTGCCTCTTGAGGGAACAGGTTTTGCAAGGGCTCAAGTACGTGCCTGCAGCGCAGCGAAGATGAGCATCTCCTCCTCGGTGCAGTCGATCTCCTCCAGCAGGATGGCCCAGCGGGCCTGCTCGTAGATCTGGTTGATGCGCACCGCGTCGTACTGGGGGAAGAGCAAACAGAGCCCACTGGGGACCTCAGCACAGCCTCACAGCCTGCTGCAGCTGTCCCACGCTGGGCTGAGCCACAGTGCTTAGCGCTTGTTTCCTTCCTCCTCCCACCTCTGCCCCCTCCTTGCCTTGTACCAGCTCGTGTGATTGTGTGCAGGGTCCCAGGGCTTGCTGAGCCTACACAAAGCCAAGCGGGAGCCCCTGGCGGAGGCAGAAAGCGAGGCCCAACATCCCCTTTTGAGGCAGGAAGCCTTGGACTGGTGTAACCAAGATGTGAAACCACACTGGGAGAAAATCACATGATATGGCTGACTCGAATGTGACCTGCAGAACTCCCTTGTTCCTCTCTTCCTTTCTTCCACTCTTGTTTTTTTCACTTCTGGTTATGTTTGTCTTTGCACTGGCTTGAGATTTGCCAGATCTGCTTTAATTCAGTATCCGGCTTTTGGATAGTTATTGTTCCTTATTATCTACTTGGTTAATAAGCGGAAGTGACTCACAGAAATGTTCAAGCCCCAGAGCTACTGAAAGGTAGGTGGTGGGAGGGTAAACCTTGGAGCGTGACCTCTCCCAGCAGAGGTGAGATATTAGGTTGCCTGAAGCTCTTTTGGGTCATTTCATCCCATGGCTCCAGGGTTGGCTGGGGCAGAGAAGGGAAATGTTTGGGCTGCTGAAGTTTAGACATGTACTTGGATTTTAGTGCAGGTGCTATTTCACCCAAAAACATGTCATATAAACTGGAAAGTGCCCTGATTTCTTCTGAGGGTTTCAGCCCAGAAAAGCTGTGAAATTCAATGAACACAGTGCAATATTAATGTAATTTTAAAGCCAGATTTCAAAAACAGGACTCTTTACATCATTTAGGATACTGCTAGTCTAGTCTTCCCCTTAATTTTTCCTGTTAAAAGAGATGCAGAAAGTAAAGCAGCCCCTCTGGAAATAGGATACTGTTTCTGGTGCTCTTCAGATCCCATCTTTAAGATCTCATTTCATGTGAGGAACAGTGATTCAGTGTCCAGAGGGTAAAAGTGCAGCCATAGCTGAGGGGAAGAAGCTGAATTTGATCTCTCTGAAGGGCTTCTTACAAATCCTAACTAAAATTCTACATAGAGCTGTATATATTCTATATTGCTGTATAGCTCCTTGACATGAAAGCAGGCAAACAACGAATAGCAATAAAAACAAGGCTCTTACTTTTGGATTCAAATCAAAGAAGGTGTAATATTTAAAGCGTAGAAGAAGTTGATCTTCCTCCTGAACACCTTGTTCCATAAGAGATCGAGATGAATCCAGCCAGCTGTGGAAGAAAACAACCCACAGATCCATCTGTACAGGAGAGACCATTACACCTGCAGAGCTCCAGTGCAATTGTGAAACTAATGTGGGAACAGACAGCTCTAATTCCTCTGAATCTAGGGGAAATTCATGTAACTCAAGAAGGTGGAGCATTCATATAGACTTCCAACTTCCATTTTCTGTGTATATACAACAAGCAATGTTTACTTGTGCAGAACTCAGTCACCTGTTTTTAATGCAAAATTATTGAACTTATCTACATGTCTCTTTCCACTTTCTACTTAAAGCCTTTGGAGTTTGCCACCCAAACTGTCCTTTAGCTGTGCCCACTTTGCTCAGCTGAATTTGCCTTCATCTAACAACAGACTTTAGCCCAGAGCCAGCACAATGACATCATTCCTCATTTTAAACCCAAAGGATCTCAGAGAGGCACCTTACCCTGCATTGAGCTTGGCTTTGTCAGCCAAAGTCCGTGGCTGGTACATCTCTGCCAGCATCTCTGGGGAACAGGTGGGATGACTGAGGGCCAGGATGCTGCAGTTCTGCTCAGCCAAGGAACCATCACTGAACCAAGTAATTGTGGAAGAAGCTGGTGACCCACTGACAGGATCATAAATGGGTGTCATGGTCTTACTGTATAAACCTGGATTGGCTGCAAGTTAAGAGCATCATGTTACTCCTAGGAAAAATGGTCCTGTCCACTACTTTGCAGCATAAAAACCAAACCCTTTTCTCTCGAGACAGTCTCCTATCTCTGCTGTTTCAGCTGGCCTTGTCCTTTCACAGGTGAGCAACCTCAGGGACAGAAATGCTCTTTGTTGCTCTGTGAGATCTCAGTTGTGTTGGACATGGGAAATGCATGTTTTCAAGCCTTTATTCCTCATTTTCCTTGCAGATTGCCAAATTTAATGAATATTTTAATTGTTGTCCCCCTTTTTCAAAGGGCAGCAGCACATCCCGTGTGCAGGGCCACAACCTGTTTTCTAGTGTGGCCTGTCTCATATCAATGGAAATGAACACATTTCTAGAGACAATAGGGAAATACTGACATTCTGAGATTTCCTGAAGCCACTGATTTCAGGCCCACTGTGTCTCCAAGACCATCCTACATGAAACTGGTCTCCTTTGTCTAACAAAGAATTTCTTCCTCCTTTTGACTTCCAGGCAAAACAATAAAATCATAATGATTTTTCATTACCTGGTAATCCAGAACTCACTGGAGAGTTGCACAGGTTTAAAATGTCTTCTGCAACTGGTTCTTTACTATTCTTGTCTTTTTTCTTTTTCTTTTTGAGTGTGCCTTCTGATTGCTTCAACAAAGAGAGTTCTTCTGACCGCCTGATATCTACAAAGGCAGTTTGGGAAGTGAAGCAAGATGATTACATCCAAAAGAGTACCCATGGTTGGCAACAACATTTCAGGAAGCTTCATGTTGCAATCTGGACTTTATTTTTAGCAGGTTGAAAGTAGAAGCTGTGGAAAATCCACTAATTCTATAACAAGGCCAAAGACTTTGGGCTGTAAGAATGAGTTTGGACAGGATTTAAATCTCCTTTTGTAGGAAGTGTAGCTGCATTTTAGAATGCCAGCAAAAGCTCTTTCTCCCTCACAGCTCTGCAGTCACCTACGAGCATAATAACCTCTGTGAAATATCTAAATTATGAAAAAGCAAGAACCATTGTAACTGAGGCTCATGCCTTTTATTATTCAATGTATTTCTCATACAAGATCCTGTCTTGGTCCTCACTGTTCTCTAATGCACTACTAATCCAGACAGGTATTTCCAGCCACAAACCTGGCCCTTCATTTCTGAAAAACACTTTTACCCTGGGGTAAGCAAAGACATTTCTGACAGTATTCACTCATTCAAAGTTACAGTGTTTTTGTACTGACTCAATGTGGAGGGAAAATGTAGGAATATTTAATTTGGCCAAATGCCAGTTGGACAATTATGGCATCATTATATCAGAGTTGTTAGGTGTAATAAAGACACTGCACCTTTCACAATCTACTGCTAGGAGATGAAATTGAAAGTGGATCAGTACGAGGCAGTAATTCCTTCTGAAGATGAGTGTGTTAATGGACTAAGCTTTGAAGATCTAAATTAAGATGAGGAATTTAATTAAACCAAAGGGATTTTGAAGATTGCTTGTAGACTCAACTGATTCCCATTGATTACAGGCACACACCTGGCATGCTCCAAATGCTCTACCTGGAAATACTCCATTATTGGGAAGAGAGGGGGACTCAGTGCTGTGAGACATTCATGGGCTGGGCTGGGGTTCTTAGGTGTGCCCTGACCTGAACAGATCTGGGCATACAGAAGTCTTGAACATTTAAAACATGCTACATCTGAAGTGAACACATATAGGCAGAGTTGGATATTATAAGTGAAAATAGGTGATAAATCAGTTGACACCAGTAAAATTGCCCGTGGTGAAGGCTGGTGTAGGACATTGATACTCTCATGCTCTTAGTCACTGGCACAGAATAATCAGGACCAAGTCCTGCTCCAGGAGGACAAAGACTCCTAGAAAGCTGCCAGCTTTGACTATCCAGTACTCCTGCAGCTCGTGGGACACATTCCTGACAGTGCTTGCACCAGTTATCACAGAGACTAAGAACCACTGACATGCACTGCATACTGAAACCACCAAAAACCTGTCTCAAATTTCTCTTTGAGCTAAACAGTTTTGTGAGGAAGGACTTCACAGCAAAACAAAGTCACCCAATAAATGCTCCAGCTTAGTTGCCAGAGATTTATCAATTGCCCGTGGTGAAGGCTGGTGTAGGACATTGATACTCTCATGCTCTTAGTCACTGGCACAGAATAATCAGGACCAAGTCCTGCTCCAGGAGGACAAAGACTCCTAGAAAGCTGCCAGCTTTGACTATCCAGTACTCCTGCAGCTCGTGGGACACATTCCTGACAGTGCTTGCACCAGTTATCACAGAGACTAAGAACCACTGACATGCACTGCATACTGAAACCACCAAAAACCTGTCTCAAATTTCTCTTTGAGCTAAACAGTTTTGTGAGGAAGGACTTCACAGCAAAACAAAGTCACCCAATAAATGCTCCAGCTTAGTTGCCAGAGGAGATTTATGTTTACTTACTGAGCATTTTGCAGATGTCACTGACAGCTCTGAACACCATGGAAGAGAAGCTGACTTTCAGTCTCACAGTCTTCATGCTTGGCAAGCGAAGCCGCAGCATTTTGTGCTGAGTAGTAAAGATCAGCTTGGCATCTGCTTGCACCCCACATTTATCCAGTGTCCAGTGGGTTTTCAGAAGCCAACAGTTTTTTTGTTCCCACCAAAAAGCATAGTCTGACCAATCTTGTGCTATTTCTAGGAAAATACAAAATGGTTACTAACAAACTATGGAGCAAATGTACAAAACACTTGGTTTGGAAACAGATCTCTGCAAACACAAATGTTTTAGATTAAAGCAGCAGCGACAGGTCCCAACCTAGATCCTGTTTGCTGAATTCTTGTGGCAGTCACTGGGAACCAACTTTGTTTTCCCTGAAGATCTGACCTAGGTGCTGACTGTGGCACTGCCTTAGTCTTGTGGATATCCACAGGGAAAGAACATCTCCTGAATCTGGTGCTACATATGGTGCAATACTGCTGGGATTGTGCTGGGATAAGAACTAACACTCAAGGGTTCCAGTTCAGAACTTGTCAGTGCAAGCTGAAAATCCTCCTACCAAATCTCCTGTCCCCAGATGGGCACAAGCTCTTCCACAGCCTCCTGGCAGCAGCACTGAGCAGCTTATCTCAGTGTTAAGAACCAGCTTCAAGTGCATGTAAGTCTTGGTTACACACAGCTGAGTAGCAGCACATGCACAAGGAAAGAGATAAAAGTATTGCTGCTTTCAATTCCATGGGAATTCCAAGATTAGATAACATCCCAGATGTCAATATGTAGTAGCAGGTAAAGCTTCTGTGTGATCTTGGCCAAGCTGTTTCAGTCTTTGCATCAATCCTTGTTCCTCATCAGCTCCATGAGGCAGAGGCTATTCCTCAGCATGTCCATAACACAGTAGAGTCCTGTCCTATTTTGGAGTCCCCTGGTAAGAGCTGTGTCTCAAGACAGCTGCTGACACAAGTCAGTTACAGATTTGCTTGAAATATTAATCCAGAAAGCTTTTCACACCAGCTGAGTATTTAAAAAAAAAAAAAAAAACTGTGAAAAATTATTCTTCTGACTCAGTGGAAACTCTGGCTACCATCAGTTTCCGGCTGAACCACGTGTCTAAGTGTGCAGAGATGGTGACAGAAGTGACCTCAGATTCTCCTCCTGTGCTCCTCTGCTGTTCCTGTACACAGGGGATTTTACTTTTCACTTCCTAACTTTGACTTGGCTAGTCCTGGCTTTTCCCAGCTCTTCCCTACTGTATCTATGCAATGGATAACATAGCTCAGACTTAGGCTAGAATGCCACAACAGCACAGAGACAGGAATTCTGAAATGCCTTTTACCAACTGACAGCCATTGACAGCCACGGGTGGGTAACAGGGCATCACCTACCTCTCCTGCCCCCCAAACCACACACCTGAACCATCCTTCTGGAAAGGGAGTTGAGTCGTTAGCCTGGTTTAATTATCTTCATCTAACTGAAAGGCAACCCCAAAGTTTTGTTGGCACTATGGTAACACAGAGGGTGGAACACAGGGAAGGGTTCTGACCACAAAAACCCCTGGGTCTGAGAACTCCACACTCTGTGTGACACAGAAGTGAGGCAGTACCATTTCAAAACACACAGAAGCCTTTTTTCAGAGAGGGAAAAATGCACATATTATTTAGCAACACTGTAAATAAAACAGGTCTTTACTCACTGATTTTTTCTACTAATTTCAGCATCAGTCCTCCAACATGAAGGTCCCCTGTGACCTGTAGTGAAATTGCCTTTTCTACATCTTCATGTTGATGATCAACTGTCAGCAAGAGGTCCCAGGTGTGTGACCCATATTCAGTTGAGGAAACCATCTCGGTCTGTGTAAGCTCTGCAAAAGCAAACCAACCGAACCAACACGATGTTTCTCCTCCACTCTGAAACAAATGCATTTCTCCACAGTCTCAACATCATTCCATGCTGCCAGGAATTCACAGTGGCCTTGGATGGATAACACTTCAGAAGTGTTATCTTGTTACCTCTGAACTAGACTGCTCCTGCAATTCATCTTGCAAGATAGGAATGTGGGACTTTTTGGTTTTATTCTGATTTTGCCACACCCCCAACCCAGATGCCTCCATTTGGGTAGATATAGCTCAGTTTTAGCTGGGTTTGTCCACCATCCAGTGCTAATGTGCCAGCCTGGACACTGTAAAGCCTACAGTTGTGGGATCTGCTTTGGCAATCTGTCCAGTGAACAAAGGCATTTTGTTGACTTGAACACTTGGGGCTCTAATTTTTACTGCAAATCAAAATTTACACTTGCAGTTCTGCCAGCTTGCACGGGACCAAATCCAGAGAGTAGTTTTACCTATTTGGGTACATACAAGGGGAGACAACTTTAGTGGCTCTCTGCCAGCATTATCCAGACACAGATCTGCAGTTCCTGCTGACTTGCACAGGGATGTAGGCACGTGTCCTTCTCAGCAGGGTGAATTGAGTTCCCACCAGGCTCCTGCCAGGACAGGTGAACAGTAATCATGCCAAACCAAACTAGAGGAGACACTCCAAGTAGAAGCTTTGGTTATCATCAGCTGAACAAAGAGCTTGTAGGTATAAGGTAACTGGTGCTGCAGGCAGGATTTGTGATATCTAATCAGTGAGACAGCTCTCTGTCCTGAAAAAGGCCTTTGCAGTTGAGGCATAGGCACCAAAATGGATAAATTCCATTTATTGCAAACTTTTAACAACACATGAGAACCCAGCTCACAGACTCTTGCTGAAGGGGCCCTACTCAGACTGCTTTTAACACAGAAAATAACTAAGCCAGAAGGGATGTAACAACGTTACAGAGTGTTGTAGATCTTCTTAAAAACAAGAACTTAGTAATTTAAAACCTGATGTCAACCCCACTGATACAAAATTTGTCATCAAAGGGATAACAGAGATGAGGTGGTAATGACAAAGTCGAATAATAAGGAAAGTGATTCCAAACATAAAGGCAATGAAAGTGTATGTGTTAAAGATTTGATGGATTTCCCCTTAAACAAATGAGATTATAAATGAATAATCTGACCAGCTCAAAGCCATCATTTTAGAGGGAAATCACCTTACCAGCGAGTTTCACTGGGATGCGGCTGGGAGTCTGCCCTGAAGTTCCAAAATTACAGACACACATAGAGAGCCCAAAGTCAGAAAACTGCAGCTTCATAACTGTGTGACTCCAAGGGGCCAGCTCACACTGTGGAGCAAGCCCTGTTGTTAACTGGGTTCTTACATGTGCCAGCCTACACCTTTACACTAAACAGTTACTAAACCAACAAGAGTTGGTACTTATCCAAGAAGTTTGCTTGGCTTGCCTTGGTAAATAAAGGCATTGTATTGGACACTGGGAACACTGCCTTTCCTGCCTCTGGGATAAAGGATTTTGAATTTGTGCTGCTGTGTGCCACATGGATTTAAGAGCTTAGGTATGCACTAGACCAGGGGGCACCCGTGGAGGGGAAGGGCTGTGGCTCTCCTAAAGCCTCCAAGACCCAGCTCCCGAGCTGGTCTCCCAGGCAGGTGAGGCTTTCAGCACAAGTGCAGAACAAGGTGCACAGCACAGCTGTCGTTGCAATGTGTTCATAGCAAAACAGAAGTCCTGACTTTAGAAAAGTCAAAATGCCCCTAGTCGTGCTCCTAAGCATCAATAAACAACTTCCAAAGTAATCCATGGCCAAAGGATGACAACTATGGGATTTTATTTCAGGAACACAGGGGTGCAGTCCAGCAGATGAACTCTACTTTTGCTTACCCTTCTTCCACTATAAATCTTGTTACATTATAAACCATTAGTTACAGAAAAGCAGCAGTCTCATCTGCCCTCTTGGGCCAGCGAAAACATTTAGGAACTGATCTGGATTTTTTTGGACGTCTTTAAATTAGGTTTCACTTCCCAATCTAATTCTGCACACAAATGCCTGTGCTGACACGGGTGAAAATGAGCAGCCCAAGGGGTGGGTGAAACCCTTTCTTTCACTGGCTTGGAAAACCATGGCCTCAGTGCACTAATCCTGGGACTCCATCATTCCCTAAAGCCGCGCACCTCCCCACTTCCTCTTCAAACCAGGAGGTTTCAGTTTGAAGATAAGGCTACACAAACACTTGTAAATCTACTGGAGTACGCAGCACAAACAAAGCCTGGTCTCGAAAACGGGGCAAGCAAAGCGACGAGGACAACGAACCCCTCAGTATTAAACCCCAACCAAACCCAAACCGTCAGGGCTCCACACCTTACAGCCTTCAGGTCAAGCCTGGATCTGCTCGGGAACGCGCCCCAGCTCCTGGGCTCCACGTGGGAGCTGCAAGGCCTGGCACGGGTGGATCAAACAGGCCAGAAACGTGTCCTCAGGCTACTGCTGTCTCCACTCGGGATTTCTGCGGCGCACTGTGGCCAACGCAGCTATCGACAAGCAGCAGTGGCTCTACAAATCGAGCTCACCGCAGATTTTAGCCCTTACAGCCCTGAAGTTCAAACGCTGAGCGGGAATGGAGCAAGATGTGAATCGTGCTGGAGCCAGGTGCTATCGAGGCGGGGTTAAGGTCAAGAGGGGTCCCGTGTATCTCCCGGGCTGGCGGTGCCTGGCGCAGGGTGCCTGGGGGCCCCGGCCCGCAGCGGCAGCGCCACTCGCACTTTGAGGAAGTGCCGGGCGGCCTTGGCCCCGCGGAAGGGGCTGTGAAAGCACCAAGCCCGGGCTGTCGGGCACTCCCGCCCCGCCGCAGGTGCCGCGGCGCAGCGCGGAGCCGCCCGCCGGTGCCCCGTGCCGGGGTCGCTCCGGCAGCGCCCCGCGCTCCCGACGGCGCCCCGCGCTCCTCACCTGCCGTCCCCGCCGGCAGCGCTCCCCTCGCCTCCCGCGCCCTTCGCCGCCACCTGGCCTCTGAGAGACGGCGAGGGGAGGAGCGGCACCCCCGGGGGAGGCGGCCCTTCCTCCCTTCCCCTTCCCGCCCGCCCGCCGTGGGACAGAGCGGCTCGGAGCGCTGTCCGCCCCGGCGGTGCGCAGGGACAGCGGCTGGCGCGCTGCCCAGAGGCACCACCTCATCCACGACCCCAGGCCATCGAGCAGCTTCGGGGGCTGCTCTTACAGGTTTGAGGCTACCCGGAGAAAATCGGTTCCGAGGGTGCAATAGCAAAGAACAGAAAGGTGTGTTCGTGAGGTGGGGATGTGTTAGAAGAGGAGCAACATAAAAGTGGGTTGAACTGGAAAGGGGCAAAAGCTTCTCCATGGGCTGGATTTCCACAGAAAGTCTTTCTTGCCTTATACATGGTGGTACAGTGACGAGGTAAAGCACAGTGGAACAACCATATCAATGACAGAGAAACAGAGAGAATAAAGAAAAAAATCTTTCAGATTAAACTCATATCTTGGAAAAAGACTGCAAAGATACAAAGGGTGAATCTTTGACACACCATGGGAAGCAAATACTCTCATGAGAACTATGCAGCTGTGAAGTTGTCAAACCACAGATAATATCACAGGATATTTGCTCCCCTAGGCTTGCTCCCTGAGCTTCTCTGCTCATGCTCATCTCTTTAGATTGTCTATGCATGCACTTGTCATATCAGACATCCTTGGAGACAGGAACTTGAGAGCTCATGAAGACTTTCAGGGCCTTCTGTCACCTGAGGGCACACAGAGGCCTTTAATCACCCAAGCCAGACCCAGTTGGGACTAATTTCAAGCATTCTACTTAAGCTCAGGCTGAGGAATATTTTATCCTTGAGGTCATGTGGAGTAACTCTGCTTTTGCTGCTCCTTGGCACTGGCTTGACTCAGTGGCTTTTTAGATCTTTGTAGGACAGTTTGGTGAGCTACCTGCTTGTTATTATTTAAATAAAGGTACCCGTGCAAATGAGCAAATAACTTTGTATGGACTATGGAGTAATATAAAATTCAGGTGTGAATTGGTTGGTGAAGAACAAAGCCTGCTGCTGCTGCTCAGCTCAGAAACATGTTCTTGGGTTTTGTTCTCTAAACAAATAAAGCAAAATCACACGCTCCTGATCGAATTGGAAAAAAATGGTGCTTGGAAGATAATCAATAAAAGCGAAGATGGTTGCCAGGCCAGTCAATAAACATTGACTTTTATCTCCAGGCTGGTCCCAATCATGACCTCTTCCAAGTGTAAGCACTATTTCCCTTCCCAGTTGCCTGTGAACAACTAAGAGACTGTAGAGTTTGATGTCAGCCTAGCCCTACTGTGCCAGGAGGGCTGGGGCTCCTGTTGCATCTGAACTGCTCTGGGACTGCTGGAAAAATCTGTCACCTATCCGCCAGATCCCTTGGAGAGGAAAATGCACTTGCTGGATGAAGAAAAAATGATCTGGAGAAAAGCCAGAAGACAAAAGAGGTTGGGGTAAGTTCTCTGTGAATCTAACGTAAAGTGTTGCAAGGAAATAGGTGGGTTTTCAGTCAACACTGATTATAACCCCAGTATCTGAGGCAGTGATGGTTTACATCTGAGGAGTTGCAAATTAGGGAATGTTTTGGAGGCAACATTTTCATTTTCAATCATCTTTCAAGAGGCTGAGGAAACCAGATTTGGAGACCTGTAATAATCTCATCCTTTGAGAGGTGAGTGGGGAAAACTGTAATTGAGTAATAACTTTTCTCTTCCAGAGTTCTTGTGGAGAAGGACATGAAATGAAACCTCCATCTGCAGCTTCTTAACAGTTTATATGTTAAAAGCCTCCATTAGTCAGGAATGAGGTTTAGTGGATATAGGTAGTGTTAATTTATTCCTGGGGTTACTCAGCTAAGGCTGAATGTGATCTGTTTAGAGTTTGATTCCTTTTCCAAAGAGTCGACTAAACAACTCTAGCTGAGAGTCTTGGTAGACAAATGTAAGGTTCTGGGAGCATGAGGAAGTTATATGACAAAGACAGAATATTAAATACTGACTTCTTGGTAAAATGTGTATTTCTTCTTCCAATATACTTTTAATAGCTTTTCTTAGGCCAGTGTCATAAATTAACACTAAGTGGTTTAATCGTGTAAGACTGGCTCTATTGTTGTGTCAATGCTCTTGTTAGAAAATACAATGTC